GGCAGGAGATGCCCTCCCCATGGAGCAGCCGAGCATCAGGGCTGCTGAAAGGTGAGCAGCACTTGGAGGTTGTGACCAAAGCCCCGAGCTCGGGGTGAGCTTGGGTTGGTGCCACTCCTTGAAGGAATTTGGGATTTTGGGGCAGTTGTGCTTGGAAGCAGTTCAGGGCGTTATCTGGCATGCATCTGTAACTAAAAAATAGATTAACAAAGAAGCAAATGGAAGTATAACAATAATGGAATTAGAGAAACGCTTCTCTCACTTGCCTGCCCTCAGCCAGGCTGCACATGGGTTTGGGACCCCAAGTTTGGGATTATTGGATTGCTGAAGTCATAAAGGTTCGGATATAAACTCACTCCACGCTGCTCTGGGGCTAATCTGACCTTTGTTTTCTGGTGGTGATGGTTCTCACCCTGCTGGCTTTTAGCCACACTTTGTTTGCCCCCAGCCCCTTCTGCCAGTGACCTGAGGGATCTCCAGCCCTGATCAAAGCTTGTGTTAGCACCAAACCCATCTGTGCACCCCGATGGGAATCCTATCTCCAACCTGAGATGACCAAACCCCACAAAAATGCAATTTCTAGCGCGTGAAATAATGTTGACTGAGGAGTTAATGTGCATAAACAAAGTCTGCACCTTTCTCTCAGATAAATCTTTTTTTGGATCAATCTGGCATTGCATGAACAGCTCCAAATGTGCAATAACTCATCGACCAAGAGTTTTTTCATCTTACATAGGAACGACCTGGGCTTTGCTTTCTTCCAAATAAGGAATTAATAATGCAATAGTTGTTGTTTCCAAGGAGCTCAGCTTTTTCGAGGAGTGCCTTTTTTTCCCCTCCTCTAGACCCGGTGAAACACATGAACATTTGGAGCCTTTAATAACCGCTGGCGGAGCCTGGTCTTGATTTCGGTGAGAACTGCCAATGATTTTGATGTCAGGGCTGCGAGGTACAATTGTAGTGTTGAATTTCTGCAGGCAGAGCAGTTGAAAAGGAAGGTCAAAAGCAATAAGGGCCAGGCTGCTCTGGGCGGGCGGGGGCGGCGGGTAGGGAGCGTTTCCCCGGCCCTCTCGCCCAAGAAAACGTTTGGCTGTCACAAAACTAATAAAGCAAAACCTCCAGAGAGGGGCTGGGAGCTGCAGGTGTACGAATCGGGGCTGTGCTTACACACAAGGCAGCTTCATGGCGTGGGATTTCTGCTCAAGTGCTTCTTAATGCAACACAAATTGAATACCCGGCACGGGGAAAACGACAGAGGGGAAGGATTTTTACGGCTTTTGGGGGAGAAAGAGCTTGGCTCTTTTTTAGGGAACATAAAGGCCAGTGAGATGGATTTCTTGGGGTGCTTGCCATGTGAAAGTAGTGCTTTAGGTATGTGCAGAGGGGTCAGAGCCAGCCTCCGAGCTGGTTCTGTGCTGCCTCCAGCAGCAGGGCTTTGGGCAGGGTTCCTGCCATATATCTGGCAACACGGGCTTAAAATTAACTTACTGAAACAGCAGATAAAATTTGGGCTCTTTAAAACCGTGATATTAAATAGAAGTCCTCGAGGAAAGCAGCTAGGCCTCTTGCTGAAGGCCCCATCCTTGCCCTGCCTCTCTGCTGCCCTATAAAACAACAATTATGTGTTTAAAGTTACTGCTCCGTGTCCCTTATAAAAGAAGACTTATTCATAAACTTCTGGATAGACAGTTCTGTGGGAATCTGACTTCCTTGGCTAAAACCAAGCTGCCTTTTCCAGATAATGTAGTGCTATACAGGCTCTTTAAACTCCGAGCATGCTATTTATTATTATTTATCATCTATAAAAGACACCAGTGTTGAACCTGGGAGCGACACTGCACTCAAATCAGCAGGAAAGACAGGGAAAGGCCCAAGGACAGCTGCTGTTCCCAGGAATATCCACTGGCAGGGTGCTGGGGGATGCTCAGGGCATTGCCATGGGCACAGCTCATTTTTGGGTGGGATTTGCCAGGTGCAAGTTGGGCATTGTTGAAATGGATTTGGATGCAACCTTGCAGCTTCTGAAGGCAGGGCAGAGGAGCGGGCCCCACTCACATGCACATGCCTTGGGATGTTTTTAATAGGCTGAAATCAGCGTTTGCTGCAGGACCCAGCTGCACGTGGCTGAGTTTGCTCTCTGACATCCCAGTCCTGAGCCCACAGAAGGGCAGCTCACCCAGGAACAGCAGTGCTAACCTCAATTCGGTGTAATTTAACCCTCTCTTTCCATCTCGTGTCTGAAGATGGGATCTCTATTTGGAAAAGCTTTGGTGGGGTGTGGAGCCAGGGACTGGGGGCACGGGCAGAGGAGCAGCTGAGCTCAGCAGTGCCATGCTGTGAGTGCCAGCGTGCCAGGAATGCTGGGGACATCCCCATGGAGCCTGCCCTGGAACTCGGTGGGAGCTGGGAATGTGCTCCCTGCTTTCCTGCTCTGCCCCTGGGAGCAGGATTGGCAGCGGGATCAGCAGTGGGATCAGGAACAGGATCAGCATTGGGATCAGCAATGGGATCAGGAGCAGTGGGATCAGCAATGGGATCAGCAGTGGGGTCAGGAGCAGGAGCAGGATCAGCAGTGGGATCAGGAGCAGGAGCAGGATCAGCAGTGGGATCTGGAACAGGATCAGGAGCAGGATCAGCAGCTGGAGCCCTGCCCCAGAGCCTTTAGCACAGGCAGATCAGGAGCGTGGCATTTGCTGCATCCTGCCTCAATTATTTGCTCTGTAATTACCCCGAGGTTTGTGCTTCCCACCTTTCCCTGGGATGCAGCTGGGATTTGTATTCCTGGCACTTTTCCTTTCGCATGAGAATCTTTCCTTTGTTCTCTCCCGACTCCTGTTGACTTTAAGAATGGTTTTGATTCCTGAGCGTCTCTTTGAGGCTTTCTTGTCAAAGGGAATATTTATATTTCGTAGCATTTGAGCAAAAAAAGGCAAAGCAGGCAGGGACCTCAGAATGCAGAATTCCTGTCAGATCCTATCCACACTTTTGTGGGAAAGCGTGTGAAACACCCAGGTTTAAAACCTTCAGATCCTTCTACTCTGCTGTTGTGTGGTGCAGATGTGTGCAACATCTGGTGTGTGGAGAGGTGCTGTGGGAAGTGTGTGCTGGGCAGTGTGAGCTCCTGCTCTGCTGTCCCTGGGCTCAGCAGCTCTGCTCCCTGCCCAGCTGGGTCAGGACAGCACTTGGTCTTTTTGATGGCTGCAGCTTTTTGGTGCCACTTTTCCTGGGGATGGAAGGAGCTTTGTTTCATTTGCTGTCCCCTCTCTCGCTGCCCTGACCCTGCCCTGCTGTTCCCTCACTCAGCACGGCTCATTAGCAATCCTTTATTAGCCCCCACCTTCCCCTCTTCCTGCTGGGGAATAATTTGGGGTTTATGTGCAGCTTTTCTTGGGACTTGTCAAAGAGTAATGACACCCCATTAACTGCCCTCTGTATCATTACTAATTCACACCTATGGAGTATTTTCCAAGCAGCTGATCTCGGTTGTCTCTTAATTGCTGGAGTCCATAAACTCCGTTACGCTGAAACTGTGTGAAGGATTTGCACCCTCTAAAACTTCTCCCTCCAGTGCAAAACATAACAGAGAACGGGAATGTGGCAGCTTTGTCAGATCTTACTTCTTCTCTGTTTAGGCAAATTATTTGCTTCTGGCCCTTTGAAAACTCCAAAATGTATATTAAGGTGTGAAAAATTTGAGACTAAAAGGGTGAGGGAGTTGTGGCTGTCCAGCCTGGAGAGGAGAAGCCCCAGGGAGAGCTCAGAGCCCTGCCAGAGCCTGAAGGGCTCCAGGAGAGCTGCAGAGGGATGGGGACAAGGATGGAGGGACAGGAGCCAGGGAATGGCTCCCACTGCCAGAGGTCAGGGATGGATGGGATCACAAATGGTTTCAGTTGAGCATAAGAGAAAAAAATGCTGTTGGTGGCAACTCTTTATTTTCCTGGAAAAAAGAATCCTGGCCCCCTGGCAGAGGAACAGTTTCTGCACAGAAAACATGACACTATTTACAAAAAACAGTGTCTAATATCCTTTTCCAGCTTGGAAGGAGGAGTTTATTTCAATACATCCTTTTTTAATTGCCATGAGCTGGACTTGTAAATACTGTAAGTGGTTGAGTAATAGCCCTCAGTGAGCAGAGAGAGGAAGGGACAGGTTTTCCACTCTTGGAACCCTCTGCATTCCCTCAGCTCGGGCAGGGAGACTGCACGCAGCAGATACTGAACACAAATACAAACCTCTTAATTAAAAGATCATTTAAGCCCAGGGGATGCCCCTGGGTGTGATGCCAGTGCCCAGCACAGTGATCCAGCTGGGGGAGGAGTTTGTTTATGGGGGTGGTTTGGGAGGTGGATCCAGGGTGTTCTCACAAAAACATTTCTTCCTTTCCTCTAAAAACTGGAAGAGAAAGAGGAAGGTTCCTGCTGAGAGATGGGGAGTTGAGGAGAGGGGAGGGATCTCATTTTGTACGATCTCATTGGTTGTTAACCTGTGCAGGATCCAGTGGGTTTTGGGGCAGGATGGGGCACATGGGCAGAGGTGGGGCAGGGCACTGTGGGATTCTCTCCAGAGCTGGATGATCCCTGTTTCCCCAAGTCAGGTACATGCCTGAAAGCCAGCCCTGTCTGAAAGCAGGACTACTTTGTGTTGGAAACCATTTCCTGTTGCAGTTTGGATTTCCTCCTGAATAATCCTTTTCCCCCGTGGGATGGTTCAGAGGGATTCTAGCAAAGCTCAACTGGCCTGGCTGTGAGTTAATCACTCCCCTTGATGGTTCCGTGGCAGATGTTCAGGGAGGGAGATCCCCCACGGGCACTGCTGGGAAATCCTGATCTGCAGGGTCAGGAGGAGAAGGAAGCTCTCTGCCAGCCTGGGGTTTGGGTCCAGGTCTCTGCTCAGGTCCCAGTGCGGGCCTGCAGGGGTGAGCAGGGGGAGCAGGAATTTCATCCCAGAAATCCACTGGGGAATGATGAAGGCAGAGCCTGAGCCTTGTTCTGTCCCTGCAGGGATGCTGGTAGTGATCGTGCTGCTGCTCATCGCCATCGCCGTGGTCGCGCTCTGGCCCACGGGATAACCCCGACCCCGCTGGAGCTGCTGTGCCAGGGGGGCTCCAGGGCTCGGGAGGGACCTGCTGAGGGCAGGGAATGAACTGCATCCATCCCTGGGAGTGACTCCACAGCTGGGAACGAACTGCATCCATCCCTGGGAGTGACTCCACAGCTGGGAATGAACTCCATCCATCCTTGGGAATAAACTCCATCCATTGCTGGGACTGAACCCCACAGCTGGAATAAACTCCACAGCTGGGAATGAACTCCATCCATCCTTGGGAATGAAGCCCACAGCTGGAATAAACTCCAGTGCAGCAGACTGAAGCAGCGCCCACCAGACATCCGCTGTCCCTGGAGGGCCCCTGAGGAGCTCTGTGGGATCCGGGGGATTTTGGTGGGGAAAAGGATTTCACCCCACTCTTCCCACCCTCCTCTGGCACTCAGGCAGCTGCAGCTGTGGGATGGACCCACCTCTCCTGCACCTGGGACACGCTGGTGCTGCTGCCCTGCCTGTCTCGCTGAGCCCAGACATCCCTGGGGCTCCAGACACTGAAATCCAGGCGTGGTTTGAGAAGAGCAACTGGAACAGCAACTGGAGAACAGCAACAGGAGCAGCAGCTGGAACAGCAGCTGGAACAGCAGCTGGAACAGCCGCGTTCCCCTGCCCTGGGCTCCCTCCTTCACAGGAAAGTGCTCCCGGGTTTTCACGGAGCAGCCCTGGGGAATGCTGCATCCCGATTCCCCGGGATGGGAAGGGACAGCCCTGCAGGACCCCAGGGCTGCACGGGATCGCTGCTGACTGGCTCAGTGCTCAGCCCTGGGGAGGTACTGGGGGGTTATTGATCCCCAGGGGCAGGTATTGTGGGGGTTATTGATCCCCAGGGGTAATTATTAGTGGGTTATTGATCTTCAGGGGTAGTTATTGGTGGGTTATTGATCTCCAAGGATGGGAACTGAACAGCAGCAGGACTCAGCCCAGCCTGTGAGAGTGGAGAGCTTTGCCCTCGTGTGCTCCCCAGGGGCTCTGCCAGCCTGGCCTCGGGAGATGCACCAGAATTAACATCCTCACTGAGCTCTGGCTCTTCCTTTGACAGCTCCTCAGACCCTTCTACAGCTGAGAGGAAGGACTGCCTATTTCAAAACTAACGAAAAAGAAGTATTAAATGTTTGCTTCTGGCCAAGAGAATAATTATTTTGTTACACATGTCAGTTTGATTTCAGGATTAATTGAGCAAGCAATAAATACTGATTAAAGCTGATCCATTTATATACAGTTTCTCTGTCTGGGGTTTTATTGGTTCCTGTATCTTGTGTTGTCTGTGAATGATTTATCCAACGCTGCCGTATCCTTAGAGCTGGTCTGGAGAAGGAAATAGGCAATTTCTGTCAGACTTTGTGTGTATTATGACAGATCTGTGAGACTTGCACTCACCTGCCCTGGTGGTGCCTCTCTTCACAGCCCTGACCTGGCCCTGGCTCTCATTTCCCTCTGCCCACACATCCAGCACTGCTCTGGGGGTGGAACCAGGGTCTGCTGGTGCTGTCCCCTCTTGACTGGCACAAATCCATTCTTCTCTTCTGGGCTCGGTTTCCCCAGACTGGGGCTGGGCTCTGCCCCTTTGCCCAGGGTTTGGTGGCTGCAGATCCCCTTCAGTCGTCTCCTGGCAGGGTGCAGGGCTTGGCTGGGTGCAGGAGAACAGGGATCCCCCTGGAATGCTGCACTTCCACACTCCCTGATTCCTGGGGTGAGCTCGGTGTGTGGATGGCTCCTCTCCCACGCTGCCGGGTGGGAGCAGGCTGGGAAAACCACTCCAGCTCCAGCCCTCCGTGGGAAAAGCCTCATCCCCCTCTTTCCAGAGCCAGTGTGTCACCTTCGGACAAGTGGCCACCTGCAATCTGGGAAGGCCATTTGCCCCTCGGAGCAGAGGGCTGGCACTTGTGGCCCGTTTGTCTCTGCAATAAAGATCTGACATTTCCGCCCCCGGGATGTTTTTGCATTCATAAATTCCCAGCCCTGCTGAAGGCTCGGCCCAGCTGGGCTGACCCCCAGTGCCTGGCAGCACCTTTTGCCTGGGTGTTTGTCCCTGGAAGTGTTTTGCTGCCTCAGTTCCCCCCACGTCCCCGTGCTGTCGGTGCCACCGGCGCCAGCCCTGCTGGCCCTGGATGGAGCTGGCAGAGCCCTGAGCCTGCAGGGTGGGCAGGGAGGGGCAGCCCTGCCCAGCAGCCCCGGGATGGCACGGGCAGGGCTCCAGAGCGGGGCTGGCAGCGTTCCTGACCCCAGCCCTGGCTGTCCCCACACCTGGCCCCAGCTCCGGGCGGGGTCCCCGAGGTTTTGGCTCTGTCCCACTGCAGGGCACAGCTGAGCCCACAGGGGCTGGTGGGGACCCCCATGCCACCCGCCCACGGTGACCTGGCTGTCCCCGAGGCCACTGGCCACTGCCTGGGGGTGCTGGGCAGGGACAGGGCTGGGGCTGCCAGTCCAAAACGCTGTGCCACCTCAGCCTGCCAAGGGGACACCGACAGACCCAGGGCGTGAGGGGACACCATCATTTCCTTGCTCAGGTCCTTGTCCCACAGGCTCACCGAGCAATGGGGTGGGAGAAAAGCAGAAATTCCTGGAGATTTGTACAGTTTACAAGAGTTTATTCAACTGGTTTCTGACTTTAGTTCTACCGAGGGGGTGCTGAACAGTTATAAGCTCCTTCGGGTCAATTACAGCCAATCTAACAAACAAACAAACAAAAGGGGAAAAAAAAAAGGAAAAAAAAGAAACAACTTGGCAAAACAATAAGAAAATCCACAACTTTTTCACGTGTCATTAAATATATTCATATATAATAACCATAATATATTAGTATGCATTGTAAAGAAACATCGCCCAAAGCAGTCTGCCATGGTCATAACTAAACAACATTTACAGTTCAAGATATTAACAGAAATAATAAAAAAACAAAAATAAAAACCAAAATAAAACAACCCCAAAACGAACACAGGTTTGTGAGGGGAGGAGGCGGGGCGGGGAGGGGGCACGGACACGACGAACGAACAGAAACGAGACCAAGCGACTTGTGTGGGGTGCTACGGTCAGTGATGATTGTTTTGGCATTTCAGCTGCTCTCCGAAGCCTCTCTGAAGGCACCACGGCCCCTCCCTCACCCCGCTGGCCAGGGGTCCCCGCTGCTGTCCCCGGGGATGGTGGCCCTGGCTGGCCCCTCGCTGCCCAGAATGGGCTCGATGGCCCCGAGCTGCCCCCGGCCCTGCAGGGCTTGGGGGGCAGCCTGTCCCTCTGGGGGAGCAGCAGAGGTTCCTGGAGATGTCCTGGAGGTGTCCTGGAGATGTCCCGGAGGTGTCCTGGAGGTGTCCTGGAGGTTCCTGGAGGTTCCTGGAGGTGTCCTAGAGCAGGGGTGGCTGCAGGGAGGAGCTGCCCCTGGAGCTGAGCTGGGGCTGTGTGCCCTCCCAGCAGAGGCTGCTCCAGCCCCACCAGTTCCAGGAGCTCGGGGCTGCTGGGGCACACCGAGGGCACCAGGAGTGGAGATGGAGCCAGGGCTTCTCCTGGGCCAGCTGGAAACACCAAACTCCAGCAGGGATGGGGACAGGCCTGGGGACAGGCCTGGGGACGTCCCCCCTGTGCCAGCAGCCAGGCTGCCGTGCCAGTCGCTTCCCTCTGCGCCCCCAGGCTGTGCCAGTGCCCGCAGGTCTGGCCCTGGGGTCAGGGGTGGGGGTCTTCTGCAGCCTCCGGGAGCAGAGGGAGCAGGGAAGGGCTGGAGGGTGTCCCTGGGGGGTTTGGGGTGTCCGGGCTGTGCTTGACAGAGGTGGAAAGTGGGAGTGAGCCTGGGGTGTCCAGGTGTGCTGTGGGCAGTTCCCGAGTGCCCAGGTCCCCTGGCCTTTCCTTCCTGCTCCCCACGTGCAGAACTGGCTTTGGGCTGGATTCTGTTACTTTTAGGCACCATTTGAAGGTTGGGGGCATCCCAGCTACCTGGGGATGTGCTGTCCCCAGCTTTGATGTCCCTTGGCAGCAGCTGATGGTGGCTGCAGCATCCAAGCCCTGTTTTGGGGCTTTAAGCCTCCATTTAGACACTTGAGGTGAGATTTTATCCCTCAGAACCAAGGCTTCACTTCCCTTGGCTGCAAAAGCCTCAGCTCTCCTTGAGCTCCGAGATAAGGAAAACCAAGTCCACTTTGGGAAGGGGAGAACACACAGATTTGGTGGGGGGAGCTGCTTGATGTCCAGGGTGGGATTTTTCTCCTAATACCCAGATTAATTGTGGGGGCCTTGTGGTGGCAGGGGAGGCTCAGCAGAGCTGGGTCCCTCCGGGTGGTGTCTCCAGCAGCCTCCTCTTTGCACCTATTTACATGGCTGCCCTGCTTTATGGTGGTTTATGTCATTATATAAATATTGTCAATTGCTATAAAACAAGGCAAAACCACTGGAAAATGTCATAAAATAGATGTTTCCAAGTTTCCTAAAAGGAAAAAATAGCAGGGAGGTTTTGCTTTTCACAGCGACTCATGTTTTCTTCTCCTGCAGGTACCGTGCTGCCCCCCTGCCTCCCTGCCACCCTGGATGAGGTGGGACTGGATGTCCCCACTCCCCGTGGGCAGGTGGGGCAGGGGAGCAGCCTGGCACGGGGTCACAGCTGCCAGCCAGTCCTGCCCGCAGGGTGCCCCGGGGAGGATGCTCCAGTCCGAGGTGAGGCAGCCTCCGCTGTGCTCAGGGCAGTAATGGCTGGAAATTGGGAATTTTAAATTGGCCGTTTGCTCCACCAGCAGGAGGAGCAGAGCTCCAGGTGGGTCACACCTTGCTCCTGGCTGAGACCCCTTCCCTGTGTGGGCTCTACCCAGGCCAAGCCTCAGAGCTCTGCCCTGGCCCCACTGCCCTTGGGGACAGTCCCTGGCACCCTCTGCTCCCCGCTTTGTCTCCAAGAATTCCACAGGGATATTGGGGGGCTGCAGCTCCAGAGGGAGCGAGAGCAGCGCTGCCGTGGGTTTGGAAGAGCTGCCCGAGTCTGGGAGTGAAAGCAGTGAGCAGCCAGGAGCTGGTGTCACCTGCAGGGATTTCCCACCACCAGAGGGTTCCTGGGGTGCTGCAGCAGCAGAGGGGACTAAGCCCATGGAGGGGGTTCAGGGCTGGCCACAGTGGAGATTCAGGGACTGAGACTGGCAGGATCTTCCAGGGCACTTCATGGGAACTGGATGCCAGCTCATTTTCTGTCAGGTCCGGTGTTTCCTTGGGGATCCTGGTTATTGACTCCTTGCCTGTAAATGGGTGGCTGGAGGGGGACAGGGCACCCTGAGGGCTCACACTCCTTCCGTGTGGTGGGGGCAGCACCCTCAGGGTCAGGGGCTGAGCACGGAGCCATTCCCAGAGTTCTGCACAGCAGGAAGTCACCCACCACCATTATCCCCTCTTGGCTGTGCCTGAAGTGGACCCTGAGCACCATCACGGCTGGAGGCCTCGGCCGCCCCGGGCACCACCGGCTGGTGGCCACGGCTGTCGGATACCAAAGCCCTCCAAGACCCCGTCCGCCGACCCTCGGCTCTGTCCTCAGCAAAAGTCTCGGTTTAGTTTCCTCTACAAGAACTGTCTCAGTCAGCCTAAGTTGCAGATACGTGTTTTGGGGATGGGGGTTAATTTCCAGCGGTGCTGTTGATTAGTTTCTTACAGGGTGGATGTGCCCATGCCTTGCTTTGGAGGCAGCAGATGTTGGCAGCTGGAAGGCAGTTTGGTGTCTCTGAGTTCTTCAGCAACGGGGCAGGAGGGAGCTGGGGGGCCCCGGGTGCTGCACGCCCGCACCCCGCTCGTGGGTGTCTCTGTGTGTGCAGTCAGGTTTTTGTTGGGTCCTCTTCAATTCTCTTGGATTTTGGTTGGGTCCTCTTGGGTTCTGTTGGGTCCTGTTAGGTTTTATTGGATCCTGTTGGGTCCTGTTGGATCCTGTTGGGTTCTGTTGGGTCCTGTTAGGTTTTATTGGATCCTGTTGGGTCCTGTTGGATCCTGTTGGGTTCTGTTGGGTTCTGTTGGGTTTTATTGTGTCCTGTTGGGTCCTATTGGGTCCCGTTGGGTTCTGTTGGGTTTTGTTGGGTCCTGTTGGGTCCTGTTGAGTCCTGTTGGGTCCTGTTGGGTCCTGTTGAGTCCTGTTGGGTTCTGTTGGGTCCTGTTGGGTTTTGTCTTCCCTGGAATACGAGGTGCAAGCCCAGCACCCCCCAGCCGTGGTCGCTGCCCCCCGTTCCCCCAGCCCGCCCTGGCAGCCGGTCCCTGCCCGCCCCAGCTCTACACAAAGCAGCATGCACAGTCAGTCTCTGCCTCTCTCCTCCTTTAGGCTTTCTTACACTTGCCCTTCTTCTCGCGCTGCTGGAACTTCCGCAGCCGCCGGGCCCACGTGTCCCGCCACTGGATCACCAGGCTGCTTTTGTCCGCAATGATGCCGCTCTGGTCGGGAGAGTCCTCGTTGTTGCCCAGCAGCAAATACTTCTTCATGGGCTTGATTTTGGGGCACTTGCAGGCGATGTCCTTGGAGTGGATCCACAGGGTCTGGTCTCCGCGCCGGATGCGGTTGCTGCCTTGTTTGTAGACGGAGATGATGTTCACCGTGAACTTCCACCAGTCCGCGTTCTTTTCTGCTTTCAGGATGTGGATCTGGACAGCTGGAAAAAAATGACACAGGCAAGAGAGGAGAAGGTATTAGTGTTTGGGGGTGAGGAGAAAACGAGCTTTGAGCCCAACCTGATGGGCTGTGTGAAGAAGAGGCTTTTTGCAGCAGCCAAGGGCTGTGGATGGCCCGCAATGCTGTCCCCAGGCCACCCCCAGGAGCAGGAGCAGCCAGGGCTGCATCTGAGGGTCTCAGCAGAGCTCCCCAGAGCACCACAGGCTCGGGAGCTGCTCTCCAGCTCTGCGCCTGGCAGAGGCCCTGCAGCACCTCTGCCAGGGCAGCGCTGGGGAGATCTCCTGGTGTCCTGGCAGAGCACGGGGACACCTCCAGCTCCACAGCTGGCGGGAGGACAGCCCTGAGCCTGCACAGGGTGCTGCTGGTGATGATGGTGATGATGATGATGATGATGGTGATGATGATGATGTTTTCCAAGCCCATGGCAGGTGCTGTGTAACCTCCTCTGGAGCCATGGACTGAGCAAAGCTCTGCCTTTGCTCTTTCCTGGAACAGGGCTGAAAATCAGCCTCCAGGACATCACCTTCCCCAGGCAGGGCCCACCCAGCCCGCCCGGGTTTGTTTGCCAGCTCTGGGTGTGGAATCCCCACCAGAGGGAAATCCCAGGTGAGGATGGCCTGGCTGGGGGAGCAGGCAGGGGCCAGGCTCTGCACAGGCAGCACAAGCACAAAGAGCTTTTTTAGCCAAATCACTGAGCTTTTCCCTTTTCCCCCAGTGCTCCCTCCATGCCCTGGCAGCTGTAAACCCCTGCCCACTCACCTGCCTGCCTCAGCTGCCCGCCTGAGCTCCAGTGGGGCCAATCCTGTTTGTATAAATTAACAGAGGGAGAAGAAGCTCCCAGAAAGCTCAGTGAAAACTCCGCTACTTGCCTTGTGACAGTCCAGTTACAAGGGTTGGTTGTGGAGGAGCATCCCCTTGTCTCTAAACCCAAGTGATTCCAGGCTCTGGGAGGAAGCAGAGCTCTGCAGCCCAGCACAGCTTTTTAACACGTTGCAAAATATATGGGGTATTTTTTTTCAGAGCGTGTCATGGAGGCCAGATGCTTTCATTAAAAAAAAAAAAAAGGAAAAAGGAAAAAAGGAAAAAAAACAACCCTAAGCTCTGACCATGTATTTCCCTGTCTGGTGTGAAGGTAACAAAATGTGAGGAGTAGCCAATTTTTATTTTTTGGAAACAAATCTTTCCAAAAAAGCTTAAACCTTTGACCTGCCTGGGTCCACACTGACAAAATGGAGAAAATGAATGAAAAGGAACTGGAGAGAGGTGGTTACAGGAAACTCTGCTCTAAAACACACAGTCTGTATTTTTTTTTTATGTCAAGGCCCCTGTCTCTTATTTTTTCCCTTTTTATTAATGAAGTGGAAGGAGTGAAAGCTTTGAGGAAGGCTTGGCTGCTGCAGGCACAGCTGCCTGCCCTGACAGCCGATTTCTGCCCAGAGTTCCCTCCAGGAGCTCAGATCCTCCTGAGCTGGTTTGGAGCCCAGCTCTCGGGGTGCTTGCCTGGCTGCTCCAATGTGAGGTGGGGCCGGCATCTCCCAGGGGACACGGACACGCAGAGAGGCAGAAACGGGCTGGGATGAATTTCGGAAGCACCTGAGCTGGATTTAAGGATCCCTTCCCATGAAGGAGGGTTCAGTCCCTTCCTGATCTGGGCTCTGGCCCGGCTGTGCCCCCCATCCTAAGCTGCTCTGGGGCGTGGGGCGGTTCTTCAGCTGCCCTCTCCTGGGACAGCTGGGCTTGTGCTGAGCTCCTCTCACTGCTGGTGTCCCCTGCACCTCTGTCCCTCTCTGCAGCCCTGCACCTCTGTCCCCTCTCTGTACCCCTGCAGGACTGTCCCCTCTCTGCAGCCCTGTCCCTGGGCAGGACTGTCCCTGGGCAGCTCACGAGCAGCAAAGGGCCTGGGGACTGCAGGGGACAGGAGAGGGACAGGACAGGGACAGGACAGGGACAGGAGGACAGCAGGGTCCTGCTGAGGGCAGGGGCTGCCCCATGAACCACATCCCACCTGACACTGATGCTCCTGGACCACAGACCCCACGTGGATGGTGCCTTCCAGCCCTCCCCACGGTTTGGTTCCTGGCCAGCAGAAGGTGGCCGAGCGGTCCCCAGGCCGGGGAGGGTCCCTGGTCCCCTCCTGCATCCCCAGAGCTCAGGGCTGCTCCCGGCTCCTCCAGGCCTGGCTGGGAGCCTCCAGCCACAAGAAAGCCCCAAAGGCTGGAAGCTGCAGATGAAAGCCCAGGGGTGGATGGTTTGATGTTAATAAAAACAAAACCCAGCCCGAAGCCTCAAAACAGCCCTTGAGGGCAGCTGCTGAAGGCTGAAAGCAAAGCAGTGCCCTGCAGCATTCAGAGCCCGTGAGCCAGGGCCCCAAATGCTGAGGCTGCCGTGAAAACAGGGAGGCTGGGGAAAACCTAATTATTTCATTCATTTTTCAATTCACATTTGGGGTTTGTGCTAAATCTCCCGAATTCAAGGCTTCCCCTGCTAAGGCTGACTCAGGGCTGGGCTGCAGGGCCAAATCTGTGCATCCTGTTGTGGAGTCCTGGAGCATCACACATATCCCGTGCACGGAGCTGCCTGGGGGGCTGCACTTTGGGGCCCATCGCTGTGCTGGCCCCTGGCAAGATCCCAGGAGTGGCAGAGGGAGCAGAGCAGTCGGAGGGTGTTTAATACAGCCAGGTGGAAGGGCGTGCAGGGGACAGGGGTGGCAGGCACAGATGTCCCAGTGCAAGGAAGGCTCTCCAAAGGCCTGGCTCCCCTCTCACTGCACGAGTGGAGTGGAGTCCATGTGGATTTTATTCCAACCAGCAGCAAAAGGTGACCCCGACACCATCTGGGTTTGGGAATGTAAAGGGCTGGCTCCTCGCTGGAGTAAAGTGTTAAAATGTGATTTCCCCCCCCCCCCTTTTTTTCAGTTTTTAATTTATTTGGCAGCGGCTTTGCCTCGCTCTGGTTGCCAATTTCCTACTGGTTTAATATTGGAGATTTATGATCCCTAATCCCTGGGTGTGCCCTGGTGCTGGGGGACCCCTCGGTGCCCCGGCTCTCCCTCAGCACGTGGCTGCAGCAGGGCCTGCTCAGCTCCAGGAATGGCATTTCCCCACCTTCCAAGCAGTGCAAGGGGCTCTGAGTGCCGGGTTGGTGCTTTCCCCCTCCCTTGGCTTTTTTTGGGGATTCGGGTTTTTCTGCCCCTCCCTCCCTCTTTTCAAGCTGCCTTTTGAAAACACATTTTGCTTTTTTCCAGCAGCCCCTGCCAAGCTCCTCTCGACAAAGGGGGTGACTAAGAGAAGGCTCCGCTGAAGGAAGGATTTTTTTACTTTTTTTTTCCAAGAAAGGGCAATGTGAGCAGATGATCTCACCTTTCAGATGAGGATTCTGTTCCTCAGCCCCATTCCCTGCTCAGGGCTGAGGGGATGCAGGGCTGCCGTGGGGCGATGCCCGGGACCACAGGGCTGGCACAAAACCATTCCAGCATCATCCCTGTGCTGCAGCACAGGCAGCTCAGCATCAGGGCCAGCACGGAGATTTAAAAGCTCCAGGTTTCCTTTAGCACAGTCACACCCCAGAGAGAGCGGGAACATCCCCAAAATCGGGCAGAAAAAGTGGCACCTGAGGGAGTACAGGCTGCTCACATCCCACCTGCTCTCATCAGACACCCCCTCTCCTTTTGGGAATCTCCACCCTGGGCGGGTTCAGCCGGAATCCCTTCTGCTTCCCCGGGATTTCAGCGCCCCCAGCCCAGCAAACCCCTCCTCCCTCGCTGCTTTTCTGGGAGCTGAGCGGCCCTGCGCTCCCCACGCAGCCAAAAAAGCCCAGGAGAAGCTTTTCTGCCTCTGCTCCTGCCTCCCCCTCCCCGGATCTCCCGGCCTGCCCTCCCCGCGTCCTGTTGCACTCCAAATATTTGCACCCAAACCCATCTCACAGGGAAAAAGCCCGAATTAAAATAAAAAAAAAAAAAAAAAAAAAACACAAACACGACAAAAACAAACAGATACGAAAAATAAATAAGGGAAAATACCCCCTTTGAAAGGCTGAATGAAGCGGGGAGGTAAAAAGCCCCATTGAGGAGCTGGGCGGATGATAGCTCCCGATTGAGGCCGCGGGAGAAGGAACTCTGCTCAAGCTAATTAGGGCCTTTTAGGACATTCAGGCCAGCGATGCCAGCAGAACGGTGAGGAAAAGAGCCTCCTAATTGGCTTCCTGCTGGGGTGTCAGCCCCGAAGTCTTTATTATCCCTCCCTGCACCTTTTCAACCCTTTCTTCCCTCCCCGGCCCTGCTGACAGCCTGGGCTGCCCCGGAGCGCTCACCCCGCTGCCTCAGCGCCCTGGTTTTCCTCAAATAAGGAATTGGGGCTCCCTGGGGCTCTGGGGGACCCCCCCCCGGCCAGGAGGGTCGGGGGGGAGCAGCCCTGGGATGTGCTGGGACAGCATCCCCGACCTGAACCCCCAGCACGGCCTGGCGGAATGAGGGGATGCAGAAGGGAAAGGGAAAGGGAAAGGGAAAGGGAAAGGGAAAGGGAAAGGGAAAGGGAAAAGCTCTCTGCAGCTCCCCCAGTCACTGCTCCAGCGGCACTTCGTCCCTGTTCATTGGGATCTCCTGCCTGAGACACCTCCTGAGTCCCCCACACCTCCCCAGGGTCTGCAGGAGCCACAGAGCAGCCCTAAAGAGACCTGAGAGTGTCACCCAAAATTCCAGCAGAGCTGAGGGTGAGTGTCACCCAAACCTCCAACAGAATCAGGTGTGAGTTGTCACCCAAAATTCCATGAGAGTTGAGTGTGTCACCCAAAATTCCAACAGAACCCAGTGTGAGCGTCACCAAAACCTCCAGCAGAACCAGGTGTGTCACCCAAACCTCCAGCAAAATGGGCTGTGTCACCCAGAATTTCAACAGAGATGAGTGTGAGTGCCACCCAAACCTCCAAGTGATTGGAGTGTGATCTGTCCCAGGGCTGCACCACACCCTGAAGTCTCCTGGGAATTATGGGGGGATTGGATCCAGGTGACAGAGAACTGCTTGCTGCTCATTGCCACAGCAAAATACATTTTAAGTATTTTAAAACCACTGGGAAGCACTTGGAAAATAGGAGACTCCTGCAGACGCTGGGACAGCCCCCAGACCAGGGTCCGTGGTGTGCTCATCCCAAGTGGCACACGGCATCGCTGCCCATCGCTGGCTCTCCAAACGTGGCCAGAACCATCCCAGAAGCGCTCGGAGCCCGGCCCGGGCTTGGCTGGCGGCCCTGGGGATGCTCCTGCCTCACACAGGGGCCAGGCACACTCACCATAGTCCTTCTTACAGTACTTCTTCATGTTGATCTTCAGCTTCCCCTTGGAGGCTTTGCAGTACGAGTCACAATCTGCAGGAGAGAGGGGGAGGGCAAGAAAACATTAACAAAACAAATTAGCCTGCAAATGAAGAAAGCGCTGGGGGAAGGGGGGCGGCTCCAAGCCGCAGCCTGCCGTGAATAAGCAGCGTGCCTGTGATATCCATCTGCCGGCCCGAGCGGGCATTGAGAAAAACCTTCCTTTCTAAAGAAAGCTGCTGACAAAGGAGCCCGTCCTCCCTCCGCCTCCCCGGCCGCCTCTGTCTTCCTGGGAGACCCCGGGGCCTCCCTTATTGTGCCACCCAGGGCTTTTGAGAGCCACACAGATTCCCGCTGTTCTCCAGAGCCGGCTGGAGCCCGCCCGGAGCCCACAGAGGCCCCATTGTCACCCCTAACCCGGGCCATGGCAGCCTCTGGCATTCACTGCCAAGAGATTCGGGCCGGGGTCACCCTGCCACAATGCGGGTCGGAGAGGAAATTAGCGGCCCATGAAGCATCAGCAAAGCCTTTTGGTGTCCACTCTACTGAAGTGTGCAAATAAAGTACCCCAGTAGGAACATTTCATTTCCAATGGGCCCCCACTGCTGGGACACGCTGGCCTGGCACGGCCCCCTGGCACCG